GTACTATCGAGTATAGTAAAGTGTTTTTTTATCTTGTGAATATGTAAAATATGTAAAATATGATTAATATGATTAACGATATATAATACGCGTATTATAATACTTGCTGCGTAGGTTTCTAATTTCACTTCTGAAGTGATGTGCAACAGATGCAGCAGAGCACAGAAAAGCATTAGCGCTGCGCGAATAAAAGATTGAAAAGATATATTAAGGGCAAAGATTAAAATTAAAAGAAAGAAGATGAAAAGATGCAAGGCACATGCATTCACTTTTATACGGAAAAGTGTAATTTTATCCTGGAAACAAGATTTTAATATTATTTCTTACATTTCTCAACAAAATCGAGCCTTGTCAAAATTGGCCCGTATCTCCACTCGATGCAGATGATCATTGCCATAAATTTAGCATGCTCTAAATTAGCGTACATAAAATATAAATACATTACAGGAACAGGACATTTGTGTACGTATAGATGATGCACGTCCGTTTCCGTTGTATAGAGTGTCCACAGTGCGCCGTGTGTACAGGCCATGCATAATTTAGGACGTACATGCTCTATAGATAGCTTTGGGGAGAGAATTCGAGAACTCGATGGTCTTGCCGCTAAAAGGGATCATCGTTATTTCAACAAGTAGTCGATCAATCGATATTATCTATTTCTCCGAGTGGGAAACCTTTCCGTGATCATAAGGCTCTTCCTTCATGTTCGTTGGTGACCTTCGTTAATAAACGAGAAAGGGAATTATCGCACGTGCGATTAAGAAATACTTAATTCAGCGAGATTTCAGCGATTTCGGTGAGAGGAAAATGATTTTGCAATGTGACGAATTAATTATTTATTTTACGGATAATCGAGGATATTTGATCGACCCGAAGATAATTAAATAATTAATGAAACTTTCGTGTAACGAAGGAAAAAGATTTTGTATTTTGTTGCATTCAATTTTGATCTGTTTTACATCGTGAGGAGGAAAAAAGATTTAAAAAAAATTGGGAAATATATAAAAAGAGAGAAATTATTAATTATTCAGTTTAAAAACACATTTCTCTCATAAACTTTGTACCTTTTTAACCCTTCCTTACACGATAAGAATAATTAAAACAAATGATGATATGTGAAATTATTTTAAGCTTTTCAAGATTTCGTATCGTTGCATAATCGGAATGTATTAAGCAATCTCTCTCTCTCTCT